AAAACAGGCACAATAAACAAAAGAGGAAATTTAATACTTATGCATGATTACTGTTATCTACAACGAATTTACAAAAATAGTCAAATGTGGAGGCCGTTTAACACTAATGTCCTTAAAAGACAATTTCAGTGTTAGTCTTTCTCTGTAAAATTTAGAACATAGAGGAAACACATGCTCAACATTTTCCTCACAAACTACGAGGGTGAGTAGGAAAATAAGTTTCCTCTTTCGACTGTGGTCAGAGTTGTCTATGAAAGACAAAACACAGAATGAGACATTAAAGATAAGACATAACTTTTATTTTTCCACGTAAGTACCAAGTACATTGAGACATTAGTCATACCACTTGATGAACTTCAAAAGCCCCTCCAGAAATAGTTCAGGGCTTTGCATACCGTAAAAGCGTTTAATTGCTATGGGCGAACAACGAAACAGCAGGTGAACGCACAAGACACCGATACACCTTTGGCTAGAGGTCGGCAATGCAACAGGCAGATAGATTTGGAAAAAAAGTGGCCTGGACTTCTCAGATCTGGGATTCTGTTGTTGGATGACAATGCGAGACCATACTCGGCGACGGCAATGGAAAACCATATTGCAACTCTTGGTTGGAAATGCCTACACCATCCGCTATACAGTTTTGATCTCGCAAGTGACTTTTGGCTGTTTCCAGCTTTAGAGAAGAATCTCGCAAGAGGAAGTTAGAAGCAACGCTGAAGTCAATCAAGCTACTGAGAGATTTTTTCGTATGCAAAAGCCCTGAATTTTTCCTGGAGGACTTTTTGAAGCTTATCAAGCGGTATGATAAATGTCTCAATGTAGTACTTGGTACTTATGTGGAAAAATAAAGTTATGTCTTATCTTTAATGTCTCATTCTAATTTTTAACTTTCATGCATTCTAATTTTTAACTTTCCCCACAGTCGAAAGGGGAAACTTATTTTCCGACTCACCCTCGTAGTTTGTGAGGAAAATGTTGAGCATGTGCTTCTTCTATGTTCTAAATTTTACAGAGAAAGACTAATACTGAAACTGGCATTTAAAGTAGTGCTTCTGAAACATTCATTATTTGCGACCCAATATTCCATCCTAATTTTCATCACGCCCCCTCCGTACAATAACAACGTATTGAATTCAATAATACTATACTTTGATGCGAAAGCTACAACACGACTAATATCTTAAGTACAACCGACGTATATAAACGTCTCACTCAATCAAATCGATAATTGCCCCGGACATATATATACGTCTTTCCAAAGTACGGTTGTTGTTTTTTTTGCACTGCTATCGATAAAATTATTCCAAAGGCTTTGAAATGCAATAAAAAAACCTTGGCTGTGTTTGCGAAGAATTTGTTTATTTATTCCTTTTCTTCCCCTCCCCAATACATCACATACCTGATCCTATGTAGAAAACGGTGGTATTGGGGAGCGAATGGCGTAACTTTTAATTGGCAATTAAGGGATTAATTATAAATCGTACAAACTATCAAGATATATATTAATTTTTGAATATAATTTTTTGAGACAAGTCCATGGGTTCTGGTAATTATTAAACTTTTTCTTAACTTAGTAATAAATATATAATTTAAAATACATTGTGTGCAATTAATTATAAAATACATTGTGCAGGACTATTACATTTATAAGTGTATTATGTTAGTGTAAATGTGTATTTTATTTTTTATTACGCTTGAATGTATTTTCTTTGTTTGCTTTCCATAAATTAATAATTTCTTAAATAATCTTTTGTTTTCGACTTTTCAATATGCTCGTCCCCCCCCCCCCCCTAGGTAAGCGCGCCACACAGTTTGAGAAACGCGGATTTAAAGACATTAGGGTTAATCGGCCTCCACATTTTCACCAGCTTGACTATTTTTGTAAATTCGTTATAGATATCTGTAATCATGCATAAGTATTAAATTTCTTCTTTTGTTTATTGTGCCTCTTTTGCGATACCTTATAGTGCATGATATGTTGTAGGTGTTTTCAATAACAAACAAGTAATATAAAAAGAAATTAAGTCAATTTCCTACTTAGGTCAACAAAGAAAATTTTTATTTTAGTCACTATTTATTAAATAATTACAATTAATATAAATATGTATGCAAATATGACCGAATCACAATATTAAGTGGAAAAATAGAAAGCGATTTTTTTTCTTTGCAATTTTCCATTTTTCTTTCTATATAGGGTGTTGAGCTATTATTTTTGTTTGCTTTACTATTCATTCATCACTTAAGTTTAATTATTCCAATAAAATAGTATAGTAAAAAGAAATCACATTCTCAGAAATTAGGCCATCTCAGGTGGGCTTCGAACCCACGGCCTTCCGATTAGAAATCCAACGCGCTATCTATTGCGCAACAGGGACACAACGAGCAATTTTCCTTTTTATATATAGTGTTGGACTCTTATTTTTGTTTGTTTCCACTTAATCATTAATTACATAGAATTAATGAATTAATATCTGACAAAACTGTATTAACATCTAGTGTTCATGCACTAGAAGTTTAAAAAATGTATTTGAAATTGAGTGGATGAATAAAAAGTATTTTATTAACGCTTGACAATTTGTGTGTGTGTGGACAAAATATATAGCGAGAGTGTGAACTAATAGTAGGAATTTAAAAATAAGTTATCATCAAAAGATTCATGGAATCTTAATTTTTTTGTAATATATGTACAAATTACTTCAAAAGAGGGGAAGGTAATTTAGTACCGTAATGAAATTCATACCAACTATGAAAGATCAGTCATTTCTATAGAACTTTGGAAGTTTTTTAAGTACTTTTAAAGAGGGTTTAACTAAGTGATCAATAATTTCATTTTGTAGTGATATGTCTTACTTTAAGAAAAATGACTAAAATAGTAATTCAAAGATACTATTTTTCAATTTTTGTTCACTGTGAATGAATTATTTATAAGTATATATTATATATATATATATATATATAGGTATTTTATTTTTATAAAAAATAAATACTTTAATCACGATAACTATAAATAATAAAAATATTTTATTCATAATAAACAACAGAAACATTAACATTGTATTCAAAGTAAAAATAATTATTTATTACAATTGTAATATGAGGTTATTTTAAAGCAGCTTCTCCCTGTAATATAAAATCAAAATTTTCATTAATTGGTAGAATAAAAATTTGTTTATATAAAAAAAACCTTAATTATAATTTATGTAACAGTTATGTTGATAATTGCAACAAAAAGCTTAAATGTTCTCCTTCAATTAATTGTCATTATACTATTTCCTGTTCCTGGCAAATTTACAATTATTAAAACTTAATGTCAACTTTTTTTTTTAAGTTTTAAGAAACCCTATTTTTTTCTAGATTTTTCTCAAAAACATGTTCACTAACACACTTAAAGTATCCCACTACCCTAAAATTGTGAATTTTGCCAAACAATGCCAATTTTTTTATGATTTTATTTTATATGCCATCTTATTAGCCTTATAAAAATACCACGTTTATTATTTTCCGTTCACTAGAACAAAACCTACAAATGTTTTAGAAAAAGCAGATGTCATTATTTATGGCAAGATGTCATATTTTAAAACGCGTTTTACTTGAAATGTATTTTTTTGAAATTGCTCAAACGGGGCCTACGATTGCTAAAAATGTTTTGAAAATAATTAACTGAAATTTTTTATGTATGTTATGTAGAAGTGTTTTAATCTTCAGATTTATCAATCACTGTTTTATTACAAAATTTACAGTCACTAATGTTAATATAGTCACTGTTATCTTAAGAAATTTCATATGTTAACTAAAGCGCTCTATTTCTTGTAAAAATTAAAATATCTCTTATCCTGAAGGTGATTTCAAAAATGAATAACATAGCGACACATCAGAATTGAAAAATAGAAAATTTGTTCATAAACTTTTGGTACAGAATGGGCCTTGTTTATGCTATTTTTTTTTTTGTAAATTTTTACCAATATTTTTCCATTTTAGTAATAATAATTTGTTTTCTTTTCTTAATTTTAGCATATTTTTCTTAAAATGTACTAAAAAAAATCTGAAAAGAACAAAAAAATCCGCACATCTCCATATTTTTAAAAATTTGTCGCAAGTAGTCGGATACCTTAAAAATCGCAAGTCATTTTTAATTTTCAAATCAAGTTCGTCCCATATCGTAGAATATGTGAAAACATGCAATTTGATTAATAAAGTCTTATAAAAAAGAATTAAACATTTTAAAAATCTTAATTTAACATTACACTAAAACAAATCGCTGCAAATTATCGATTCGTTAAATTTAATTTGAAGAATAATATTTTTTGAGAAGTTACTAAACTAATTTCCTAAACCAAATTTCATTTTAATTTCCCCTATTAAAAAAAATTTCTAGTTATAAAATGGAAGAATAACATTAACATAGATGTTTTATAAAATTTATTTTTAATTTTTTTTATATGTTAAGTTTTAAACATTGAAGTTTAAATTTTATTTATAAAAATAGATTTTTTTTAATCCTAACTTAGTATCCGTGTATTACTTTTAAATCTCTTTAAGGTTTGAGTTTAAGTATGCAATTTAACAACAATTGTTATTGTTAATGTTTGTTCTATCATTTTTTATAACATTCAGTAATATTCCCAGAGGTGTAAAGTACCCCCCCCCCGCATCGCGGGTTGGGCCAAGATTCTAGGGGGTCCAAAACCTGACTGACGCCAATTAAGGTTTGAGTCCAGAAACCTGACTTTGCAGAGGGGCCGTAATATTCTCAATTACACCACCAAATATTCCTACCTGCGTATTGTAACAAAACTACAATAGGAAAATGCTGATTTCTGAAACAGACTATCATAAAATAACATTAATCAAAAACAGCTCAAATATCAATTTACTTTCCTTTAGTTATATTACGTAATCAAAATTAAAATTAAATTGCATTCATTTAAAAATTTCTAGTTCTTAATTTAGAAATAAATACATAAAAATCTTGAATTTTTTAAGTGCTTTTTAAAAAATAAAGCATATTTTGCTATTTCTCCCTGTTTGAGGGAAAAAATACACGAAAAGTTTTGATAGCATGAATTTCTTATTCATACAATCAGAAAACTGAAATTACTTAAGAAACACAATTTGTTTTGTGTCCGATATTTCGGGACTAAATAGTTCTAAGCCTTATGGTACTTTCTAAAGTATCCTGACAGTTTTGCTGAATTTTTTAACATGGAAGTACTCCATAGCATTTAAAATGTTCTAAGCTGATCAATTTCAAAATATTTACTCCGAACGTCATGTTAAAAAGATTGCAAATAAAAATAGAAAAAATATTTTTAATCTTGCTCTTTTTTTCACCGAAAAAAAAAAGAATAGTCTTCATATATATTTCTATGTTAACACTACTTCATCGTGCAGGGATCTTTTTCCAGCACGCAAACCCTATGCGAGTTCAAAAACGACCGCAACTAAAATATAAATAAATATACGCGTACTGAAAAGAATTAGAGTAAAGAAAAGGAAAAAAAAGAAGTCTTCAACTAGACACCCCGCTGAGAGAATGAGCCCGCCCAAAACTCACGAAACGCATCCTGAAGCCAAAACGAGATGAGACCCCCACGATCGCAGCGTCCTCTATCGTCCCGGTCGATTCTCACTTCTGCGGCAACTGAAACCAGATAGATACACTGAAATCGGACTTAGTCAAAATATGCAGTGCTTTCTCGCTCGTTGTGTGCGAGAATGTGAAAAGTTTCGAAATGCTGGAACTCCTTAGTCAATGCACGTTTAGAGGGGTACTTGAGCACCCCTTCGGGACGGTCGAGGAGAAAAATCGTTTGTGCATAAGGTGTGCAATGTGACAACTGGGTTATCGGGAACGATATTTTGACAAGTCGGGAAAAAGTTGTAGCGAAGAAAAGCGTGGCAGCTGTTTTTCCCCGTGCAGTTTTCACCCACCAACTTTTCTGGTTGTCCTTGATTGGTTGTTTGTTGTATTTGCGTCATCTGATCTCGATTTCATTGGGCCATTGATGAAAAACTCGTTCACCGGAATCGATGGAGTGTTCGAAGTTTTAATTGTTGCCACCTGAGACGGAGAAAGAAAGAAAAACAAAAGTGATTCACAGTTGATAAATGTTTTAATTGACGGACGATTATCATTATTATTATTTTTTTTTAAAAAAAAAATCTTTTTTGGAAGAGTTATTTTGGTGAAAAGCCTAACGATAAGAGGGAGATTTTTGAAGCAAAAACGATAATGATGCTATGTTTATCACAGCACAAACTTGATTTATAAAATCAATAAGAAATAAAACTTTTAATTATTTAGCAATTAAAAACTAAATGTCAGTTTAAAACCACAACTTCTATATAGAGCACAGTGCAATACCTAGTGAATCAGTACTCACTAATGTTTTACTATTTACACGTGCACAAAACTATAAATACTTGATCAAATTTCAAAAATTTCGATTAAAACTGCTAAAGTTCACAATTACTTGCTTGGATTTTAAATATTATTATTATTGAAAACAATATTCACGGCACAAAAAAAAAGTACGAAAACTTTCATGTGTTTGTGAAGATTCTCAATCGAAGAAATACTTCTTTTGACTTTTAAAAAAAAATAAAGTAAAAGGTAAGTTTATATTTCAAATATTCATTTTTTCCCCATAAATTGAGCTTTATAACTAATTTAGATGTATAGATTACTAGATATTGTTTACCTTTTACAATTAATAAATCTACTGGATAGTTTGTGATGTAAGAAAGATATTGGTACAAGATGATTATTGAGTATCTCGTAAATGAAGCTATACAAAAGAAATTAAATTTTAAAGTCCCGTTTTTAGACGTTTAAAAAAAATTAGTGGTGTATTATCGCAAAGGGAGCTGCAAAAAATCTTATTATTTATTACAGTTCACAAATTTACATGAATTAAATTTCTGATGTTTGAACCCAAGCATGTTAATTATTTTAAATGTTAACTTGCAAAGTTCCTGTTAGAGTATCATCCTGCTCGAAAATAAAAATTAAAATCTATTATACTTCTTAAAATTATTTTAACTCCAAATTAATATACTGGTATGTTTACCAATACCTTGTGATGTGCACTCTTAAATTTCGGAAAATTATGTCTAGGTACTGATAATTTTGCTTGTTTTTAGAACTATTTTAATTCGAATTATACAGCGTGTTTTTATTGATTTATACTATATATAGAAAACAGATAACTATTAAACAACATGTACTGGTTTCATTCGCTCTAGTATTAAAGCGTTTTCTTTGATAAATATAAGCTCTAATTATAAATAAATACGATAAAAATAAATCTTAAATTATCTAGAATGATACTTTCGCGCCGCGAATAATATAATTATAGAAAGAACGAAAAATTTT